AGTTGTGATATATCCAAATTGAGTAAATTCACATGAATAATTAAAATGTTAATTAATATTGAAAGTATGTGATGTATGAAAGAGAAAGAATGATATGCATAATTATGATACGTGGGTCAGAATAACTTGAAAATGATTATTACGATATATATTATAACACATTGAAGGGTGTATTATAATATATATTGTGATCCACGAATTTATATAAATTGTAATTCATGCATTATAACACATTAATCGATAAAAAGAATATGAAAATGAGAAATGATAAGAAAGAGAAAGAGAATAAGTATAGATAGTACAACGATACACTTGGGGTATAGAGTCCGGAAAAGATTTGGGAAATCTTAAAAAAATGAAAATGGTGAATGCTAACGATAAAATGATGCAGAATAAATTGTTGAAAAATAGACACTCACGGGCCATACCCTCATTTCCTGACGAAACTCCTGATTATACATTTACTAAAAAGGGCTGGGGCGGGACATGTGTATCCTGATGTTGTGGCCAACCAGCAGTTATCTATGTTAGGAAGTCCTCAAGAGATCCCAAGGGCAATTATTAAGAAAGTGTATAGATCTGTAATGGTATAAAATTTGTATGATTATAATATATGTATCGTAACAGATCGATTTATGTTGTTATTATATGTGTGTTGTAGTACATTGATTGGTATGACTGGAATACATGTATTTTGACATATTAATTGAAATGATATCTATATCTATATTCTATATATCAATGTAAAATTGACTGCACCTACTTATTACTGAGTGTATTAAATTTTAAAACTAAAAAATTATTTTTATATATGTAACTTCATCTACTTATTACTTTATACATTAAAATTTCGAATATATAAAGTTACTCGCATTGACTACACTTACTTATTACTCTGTGCATTAAAATTTAAAACGTATAACTTATGAATTAAAATTATATTTTATTCACACTTATTATGTTTGAATTGTATTTAAAAAATGTTTATTAGTATTAATAGTTATATTATATTACAAACTGCAACATAAATATTTATACTATAAATTAGCTTAATATAACGTTATTAAAAATAATTATAATATTTTTCATAATTTATGAATTAAAATTAGTACTATATTTTAATATAATTTATATTTTATTATGTATTTCAAACACTAAAATATATTTTCAATTAAAAAATTAAACTTACAAAATTATTAATTTATATTATATGTTGTTAAATTAAATTTATAATAAAAGATAAATTTATATATTTAAATTATTTTATTAATTAGTTTAATATAATATATATTTTAAAATGTACTTCAAATATTAAAATGTAATTTGAATAAAAAAATATATTTATAAAATTATTTGTTTATATTATATATTGTTAAATTAAATTTATAGTAAAAATATAATTTTACATATTTAAATTATTTTATTAAATATTTTAATATAATCTATATTTCAATATTTATTAACAATACTAAATTATAATTTAAATAAAAGTACTATATTTATTAAATTATTAGTTTATAATATATTATTAAATTAAATTTTTAGTGAAAAGATAAATTTACAAATTTAAATTATTTTATTAATTATTTTAATATAATATATAGTTTAATATATATTTCAAAAGCTAAAACTTACTTTAAAATAAAAAAATTATACATACATAATTATTAGTTTATATTATATATTATTAAGATCAAATAAGATAATTTAAAATTACTATCATAATTTACATAATTTAAAAATTATAATCACAATTAATTTATATTTATTATTTTTAAATTTTATTTAAGAAAAATTTATTAGAATTAATAATTATATAATGTTTAAAATGATAATAACAAAATTACTGTAAATAATATTTAATAAAAAATTATTAAAATTTATTATAAATAATTTAAATGAATTTCAAAATTTTCTATGTTAAATGTTGAAAATAGAAAAAAGAATATTGATTAAATTGTACAAAAATACTTTTGAGAAAATTTGATGAAATTCTTAAGTTATCTTTTAATTATAAATAAAAATATATCTTTATTTTTAATTTCTATTTAACATTTGAATGAAGACTGAGTGCATTAAATTTTTAAACGTAAAAAATTATTTTTATATATGTAACTTCATCTACTTATTACTCTGTATATTAAAATTCTGAATGTATAAAGTCACTAGCATTGACTACACTTACTAATTACTCTGTGCATTAAAATTTAAAACGTATAACTTATGAACTAAAATTATATTTTATTCACATTTATTATATTTGAATTGTATTTAAAGAATGTTTATTAGTATTTATAGTTACAATATGTTACAAACGGTAACATAAATATTTATACTATAAATTAGCTTAAATTACTTTTATTAAAATTAATTATAATATTTTTCATAATTTACGAATTAAAATTATTATTGTATTTTAATATAATCTATATTTTATTATGTACTTCAAATACTAAAATATATTTTAAATTAAAAAATTAAACTAATAAAATTATTAGTTTATATTATATATTATTAAATTAAATCTATAATAAAAGATAAATTTGCATATTTAAATTGTTTTATTAATTAGTTTAATATAATTTATATTTTAATATGTACTTCAAATATTAAAATGTAATTTAAATAAAAAAATAAAATTATAAAATTATTTGTTTATATTATATAGTGTTAAATTAAATTTCTAATGAAAATATAATTTTACATATTTAAATTATTTTATTAAATATTTTAATATAATCTATATTTCAATATTTATTAACAATACTAAATTGTAATTTGAATTAAAAGTACTGTATTTATCAAATTATTAGTTTATAATATATATTGTTAAATTAAATTTCTAATGAAAAGACAGGTTTACAAATTTAAATTATTTTATTAATTATTTTAATATAATATATAGTTTAATATATATTTCAAAAGGGAAAACTTACTTTAAAATAAAAAAAATTATACTTACATAATTATTAGTTTATATTATATATTGTTAACATCAAATAAGATAATTTAAAATTACTTTCATAATTTGCATAATTTAAGAATTAACTTAAAGTTCAATATTTTGTATCTTTTATTAATTAACCCATATACATTCTAGGTAACTTAGCCTTAAATTTCTTGATGTTGTTCTAACTCATAGTTTTCTCTAAGAATCCGATTTCATTAATATCAAATAAACTCAATCTTCCTTTATACCAAAAATACACTTTTATCACATGATTCTCATAAAAATTTATAGATCTTTACTAAAGTAGGTTACTCAAATTTTTCATAAAATCACTATATCTATATGTATAAGACTAAAACTAGATAATACTCTCCTTACTTGGTAACAGTTTCTCAAAACTAGTTTTCTGAGAGATTTACGGAGAGATTTCACAATATCAACAGAGATATCATTCAAAAGATGATGTTTCCTAAGTATTTTGATATAGATGTCTTAATATGAGAAGAAAACAGAAGAAAAAGAATAAAATAGAGATATGAGTTATGAGAAACTTACTTAGATCTGAATGAAATCGATATTTGAGCTCAAATCTGGAAGAGATTCGAAGTCCGAGAGAGTTTTTTTTAGATAGAGGAAAGAGAGAGAAAATAGAAGGTTGTTTGGTGAGAAATGAACGGTTTTTAGGCTGAGGTTCCTTAAATATCCTTCAAAACTCATGCGATCTCGTTTGAGCGAGTCCTCGCCTAAGCGAGATAATTAGACAGCGAGACTACTCATTTTTCTTATATTCTTGCTTAAGCGAGAATATTCTCGCTTGAGCGATATATAATTTTGCCTGAACGAGCTCCACCTCGCCTGAGCGAGATTAGTTCCAGAGAGCATCCTATCTTTCATGTGACTCTTCGTCTGAGCGAGCTCTATCTGCTTGGACGAGCCGCTCTCGACCTGAATGAGATTCCTTTCTTGCCTGGGCGAAAAGACAGTTAAGGCAACTTTATCTCATCTCGCTTGAGCAAGAGAGTTCCAGAACGTTCTTTTTTAGAAGGTCCTACCTCGTTTGAGTGAGGTTTATCTCGTTTAAGCAAGATACCTTCTATTCAAATTCCTATTTTTCATATCCAAAAGTAACAAAATTGAGGGTGTTACAATATCTTATTACTATCTATTTACGATGTTTGAGTTTAGAAAAATATGTAATAATACAAAAATTAAAAAGTATCATGATATTTTAAAATATTTTAAAAACTAAAATACTTGTTTTTTTATTGACAAAATGTAAGTTTAATCTAAACCATTACCATCAAATCCTCTTTCACCAAGAACTCAAACTTAAAATCTTACTTAAGTGATATTAAGCTGCTTGCTACTCAAATTAACTTTCGTTAATAATGTATCTTTTGCTTTACTATGTTGTAGCAATTTTTGAATGACTTTTCACTACCATTTTTTCTCAATTTAAACTATACATTTTATAACTTGGATTTGTTGAAAAAAAAATTATATATATATATATGAAGTTTGAATATAATTTTTTAGTTGATTCATAGCTTGACCTTTCCTTTCTATTTATCTATTAAATATTTTTTTATGAAATTTTATGAAATATAATTTTGAAGTATGAAGTTTATTAATTTAGTATTTGATAAATATTTTTATCTTGGAGGATGAGATAAAAGTAAATAGAGATCAAATTAAAAATATTTAAATAAAAAATTTGTAATTATTTTGTTTAAAGATAAAATTATATTTTGTTAAATTAGTCATTTTCTTATACAAAATTACATAAAATTAAGAGTTTTTGTAAGCATTATATGAGCTATTTAAAAAGGCTTTTTTACATTGGAGAAATTTCTTTATTTATTTTTATTTCCTACTTTCTTCACTGTAAATCTGAACCAGAAAAACATATTAGGTTAATCCTCTCTTTTTTATCTTTCATTTTAAAAAAGTTGTGAATAAATATATAATTGAAGTATTTATTACATGGTGTAAAAATTTGTCTATAAATAATTGTTCCCTGAAAACGAAAAATGGTTATCTGTGGGAAACTCATACACAGTGATACTGATATGGGCTCTCTCAGACTCTCACATGCCACGCCACAGCCACAGCCACAGCTCACAATAGGGTTTCCTTCAACACCTCAAATCTTTTCCATTTCCGCTGTTACTTTCACCCATACATCTTCTGCATCTTCTGCCTCTTCTTCGATCTTAAGGTTCAGCCTTTTTTGTTTTGGTTTTTACTTTTTTTTTTTCCTTATCTCTTAGTTTTTTTTTTCTGTTGATTTTTCCATGCATTTTCGGATTTCTCGATTTGGTTTCTGGGTTTTCAACTTCTCACCATCTTCTATTGTAAAGTTTTTTTGTTTTTTTTTTCCAATTTCAAATTTTTATGACAATGGTTAACACTTAACCGTGCTTGTTTTGAAGTGTGCTGAACATGATTTATCTTTATTTTTTGGTTCAAATTGTTGTAATAGATCTAACTTTATTTATTTATTTATTTTTATTTCTGCTGTTAGGAATAATTGTGGGGCTATCAGTGAAAAAAAAGGATAATAATGAGAAGAGGCTTAAATTAATAAATTCAATGTAGTTTAATTTTTAGTGTATTGGACAAATCATGCAGTCTAGGACCTATGTCTTGTAAACTTTTTCATTTTATTTTATTTTATATTTTTATGGTTTATTTAAATCTGTGATGTGTGATCCCTAACCATAAGTTTTATTCACCCTGGTGTTTGTTTAACAACTCAAGGCTTTTGAAGTTGAATAACAGAGGAGGGATAGTTTTTTATTTCTAAATTTAGAGAATTATAAAATATTTATATAAATAAATAAGGAATTAGAGGAAATTACTTGTTCATGTTGCATTCTATTCCTCTTATTTTTAAAATTTTAAAACTAGGGAAATGTTTATTTAGGAATTATTTGTTGGGAAGAGATAGAGAGAAGGAGGAGAGAATTTGAAATTTCTTTTGTTATACTTAAAATTTTGTTATTATTATTTATTAATGTTTTTCTTACTTCATTCTCACTTAAATCATCCTTTATTGTTAATTTTATGTGTTTTAAGAATTCTAGAATTCTCCATTCAAACATAACATTAAGATGTGTTTGAATAAATAACTTAACTTTACATGAAGACTTGTGCTATAATTTTCCACATTATAAACTCTTGCAAATGTATCTTTAGAATAAAAATCATCTCTGTCTGAACGAGTTACAGCGCGTCTATATTGTAATTATTGCATTTTTTAATCACAACTATTTTAGCTGATTTGTTGTAATACCACATGAAACTATATGTCTTATATGGCTTTGATTGTATTCAGGTGCAAAAGTTCTAGGAGATTGCAAGCAAATCAAAGGCTGTTGGCTATTTTTGCTACAAACCCAAAGTCACCCAATGAAGGATCAAATGTAAATGAAACTAGCAATGCTGCTCAGGGACCTCCTATCCTTACTATTTTGGCTGGATTCTTAATCTTTTTTCTCTTTTGTTGGATTATTGGGTCCATTATCATGTGGCTGATAAGTTTAATTGTTAATGTACCTGCTGCAAAATGATGTCTTTTGTAATGTTGGGTTTGTATTTTAAGCCATCTTATTAGTACTTATCATTAATTTTTCTGTCATTATTGGACTTAATATTATTTTAGTGGTAAAAATGCCAAAGTGAACTAAAAGCAGGATAAAGGGAAGAAACATAGGTGAAAGCAACAAGAATTGAGGAATTGGCAAAACCTAATAATGTTGGTTCTAACATAGAGGGGTTAAGATATAAGATGTTGTTTTAGGTGGTTTTCCCCAGCAAATTTCTCACATGCTGTACTTCTCGGCTTTCATTGGCTATACATAGCTTTTTCTAACATCTGATTGTGGAAATGAAACTCCATTTCTCTGCCAATAAGTTCAACAGTAGCTTAAAGTTCCATTTTCAGCCAGAATCATTAATTGAAGTATAATTGGAATGTCTTAAACAGGAGAAATTTAAATTAGCTGTGCAATACTTGTTGGTTGCACTTCTAGTGATGGTTGTGGAGAAGTTGTAGAAAGATATTAACGATATTTTTTCTAATAATTATTATATTTTGATACTAACGTTTCTTTCATTCATTTTTGTTCCCTTATACCTTGCTTCTTTTGACCGATTTCATAGCCATTTGATGGGTGTAAAATGATCATTTTTCTTTTTCTAATTCTGAAACCATTAATACATATTTTTTCCAAACAACAATTTAATTTATCAAAAATATTAGTTTCATTCTGACAAAGTAAAACTTTGTGTGTGAATGCAATTAACCAAGTCTCCTGAGCCACAAAACAATTCAGCAATGATAGGCGGCAACTACCAATCTTGAGAGGCGGATATTAGAGAGAAAGCTAATGCTACAAATTTGATAGCTATACTCCACACTAAAACATGCATATGAGAACCATTGCATCAATAGAATCATTGTATCGAAGCTCTTAAGAACTAAGCTTTACTGTGCAAGTTATCTCACGACACAAAATTCTCATTCTTCCAGTTCAATTTATATGCATACGAGAGCTGAACGACAGTTGGTGATGCTGGTGCTCTCCAGAACACCTATGCTTATTTGATGCAAAGAGAACTTGCATATAAACATAAGTACAAGTTCTTGGATGGAAGCATAGAAGTTCCAATGGAGGATGATGCTAGTTGCAAAGCTTGGTAAAGATGTGCAACACATTGACACATTCATGGGTCATGGATTCGGTTTCACCACCAAATACTCAGAGCCTAACCTACGTTGGGAATGCAATTGTGGTTTGAAATGATATAAGAGAGAGGTTCTCTCAAGGGAATCTAGTTAGAGTTTTTGAGTTACACGAAGAAGCTTGTGGATTCAAAAGCAAGGGACACTCTCAAGTGACTGAGTGTGTTTGGTTTAAAGTTAAGTGAAGTTTGTTTTGATAAAATTAATTTTAAACTGTTGAATATGATTGAGACACGTACATAAATTAATCCAAACACCATATTTTCATTAGAACATGTATTTTTCATTAAAAAAAAGTGTTGGAATAATTTATTTTCTAATTATAAAGCAAACGCGTGTAAACTCCTCTACAGCTCAAAATGTTATAATGGAAGGAGATTGATTCAAATGCGATGATCATCAATCAGTAAAGGAAGAATTTCATTAAAGCCTATTAGTATTTTAATTCAATAACAAAGTCAACAAGCTGCGAGCTCAAGTCAAAATCAAGTCAATTTATCACCTCATGATAACTTTTTGACAAGTGCACTAAATCGTTGAAGTAACAAATTAGATTATCGTTCATAGAAATTAATGCTAAGTATTAACCTACAAGAATAGCACTAGTTGGGTCCTCAAAAATAGGATATAAAAAGAACGAAATTTGACTAAGTGCAGAATTGTAACAAAATGAAATTAAAAGTGCTGGAATTGAATTTTATAAATGAACATAACTGAGAGACTAAAATTGGGAATGAAAATTAAAATAATTGCAGAATTTAAATGTCTTAATTACTGAAAGTGGGTCTAAAAATAATTAAAAGGCAAATTGAGTTCAGAATCTCTTATTCCCTTCCTTTTGCATACAAATATATTATAACTCAAAATACAACTTCATCTAATGGCTAGATTTTCTAAAATATTCAACTCCAATTCCTTGGTAATTGGTTCTAAAATGGAATTAGTGTCCTAATTTCTTAGATACAACTAAAAACATTCAGCATTAAGATTTAAACTCATTGATCACATCATCACAAATTTCGATTCCTAGATAATCTATAATGAGCAAATTAATTTCAATCTAAGAAAGTTTACTACTTTTCAGTAATAAACTCTTTTTCATCAACCTTATTCACATAAAACAAAAAAGCATTAAGTTCAGAATCAAGATGTTAAATAAAAGCATGTATCTTGAACTATATCCCATATTAGTTCATTGCAAAGGGTAAAGGTGTAGGTTTATCTTTACTCAACCCAAAGATATTTAGTTAGACATAATGAAAGTAAATAATATAAAACTGAAATATATTGCAGAAATAGAATTCATATTCACAGCAAATAGATGAAATGAGAGTGTTACTGTTCCATTACATAAACAAGAGAAAATGAAAAGAGAATGCAAGTTCCCATAAGAATCCTCTAACCAAAATGTAAGGAAATTGTCCTGGCTATCATATTCTAAGTAAACTGTATGAAAACCTAGAATTCTGCACCTCTAAAATGTACTAAAAAGGAAAAGATAAAAGATACTACATTTTCAGAAAAAATTCGCTTTTATATGATCAGTTAGCATTGTATCCCCACAATCAGAAATATGTGTTCCCACAAAAGTGACCTTTAACACACAACTTTAGCTCTTTAAGTCCAAATGTCAATTTTTGTCTAATCCCTTCAAAATTAAACTGTCAGCCATTAGAATATGAATAATTCATATATATTTTTAACACTTACAACATTCTATTAAATTTTCTAATTAATTGCATTAACTTATAATTTAAACTCAATAAAATATGCTAAAAAGACTTTAAATTTTCTAGATGAGTTAGTAACTCATCACCTCATTTATAGGCCTTACGCCAATTAAGGGTCACAAAGTCACATGTTTTTATTCAATATTTTCTTGTCATAAAGATTAACATTCATTAAGGTAACTGGATGTTATATTCAGGAGCTTTTGGTCATACATACTGCTTGACAGTTCAAGTTGCTACACAATATGCAGGTAATATAAGTTTCTCATCATCGTTTTGCTCAACCAATGTTCTTTTATTGTCAAAATCTACCTTTAATCTAATTTTTGTTCCTATGTAAGTCATAATGTTTTTCTCTCACTTTCAGTAATAATGGTTGTGAATATGTGATACAGAATATGAATGAAATTGTTGAGGATGATTAATTTGACTAATGAAGTTGAAGTACTCTATTATTTGATGGTTAACAAATTAAGTTAACTTTATTTTATTCTATTTTTTTTACTTTGATATAGACTTATCCTGATAATTCCTAATAAAAATAATATTATAATAGATTTTATTTAATTTTATAATAAAATACAATTATGAGTCAAAAAATGTTAGAAACTTCAATTTCATAAAAAAATTATTTATTTCGATAATAGTAATTGGTGAACAGGAAAAATATTAAAAATTTTATTTAATATAATATTAGAATTTATGGATAAAACTATTAAATAAAATTATATATTCATGTTAATCATGCTTATTAAATTTTAAATAAATAAAATGTTTATAGATATATAATTTTAGAATAAATTCACAGAATAGTCTCTTAAATAGTAATGATCATAAATATTAGTTTTTTATTTATTTAAATTACTCTGACAGTCTCTTAAATAATAATGATTATACATATTAAGTTTTTTTATTTATTTAAGCTACTCTGATAGTTATTCGCATTATAAATTGTCAGACAATTATGTCTTTCACGTTATTACATGTAGATGCTAAAATGTTCGAACTGATTTTGCTTATTGTCGTTGCACCCACCATCTTCGATATTCCCAACACCCTCCATCACCTCCTACTCCCCCTCCTTTGTTAGTTCCATTTCCTATACCACCATCCTGTCCTGAAATCTCCACCGCCTTCTCCTCACTCTCTTTCACTGAATCACGACGTTGGATCTATTGTTGTAGCTCTCTCTTTTCTTTAATGGTGATTCATTGATTCACACCTAAGGAAGGAGATCCACTTTGGTTCATGGCTAGTTATGTGTGTTCCATTCATAGTGACTTTGGGAGTTGATTTATAGTGTCATGGTTTTGAAGAGAGGGATAAAGAAAGAGATGGTGGGGGACTTTGGGGGTGTCAACCAACATGTGGCTCAAGGAAAGGGGAAGAGAGAGAAAGGGGTGGTAGGGGCTTTGGGACGTCATAGTTCAGACCATAGTGAACTGTATGCATGGATATGAGGAGAGGAGAAGAAAGAAAGAGCAGAGATGTGAAACAATATCAAGAAAAGGGAGAGGTATGGGCTTTGGGACTATGGACCATAATAAGCTCTATGAATCTGAAGAGGGGAGAAGAAAGAGAGAGCACAAGAAACAACAATATTATTCTTTAACATAAAATTTAACTGTAATAAGTGACTCATAGAATAATTTAACAACAATATTATTTTAGTATCTATATCTCATTTAATGATAAAAATTAATATTTTCAATTATTAATTAACGTAAAACTTAACTATGACAATTTACTATATATGAGTGACTAATAAAATAATTTAAATTAAAAAATTAATATGCATAATTATTTACAATTTGAATAAATAATTTAAGTTTATTAATTATATAATCAATACTTATTTATATTTTTTAAAAATATATTAGCTATTAAAATAATTTAACAAAATAAAGAAACATTAAGTGAAATGAATGATTTTTAACAGAGTTATACATAAAGTAACTTAATTTTCATTCGTGTATATATATATATATATATATAAATCTAAAAATTCTTACACCCAATCTAAGTCTTCTATTTAACTTAAATCTAATAGCTAATAAAATAATAAATTTTAATCCGTTAGATTTAAGTTAAATGAAAGACTCAGATAAAATATAAGAATTTTTAGACTTACAGAAATTTAAGAAGATCTTGCTATATATATATATATATATATATATATATATATATTACCATAATATAAAAAAAATATAAAAAATATACACATAAATTTATTAATTAAATTTAAGTACTTTTAATCTTGTTTTTGAGATATTACTTTTAACTTCTTTTTAGTCTTTCAAAAATGTATATTATCAAATACTTTAACCATTTAAATATTTACAATAGCAATTCCTTCAAATATGGAAAGATATAAAATAATTTCTATTTTAATTTATAAATTAACAAAATAATCAATTTCACATCATTTGAGAGATTTATTTAATGTCATAATTATATAATACCTAAATTGATGTTAAATAAATTTGTAAATACTAAACAAATAACTTAGCATTTCTTTTGCATAATTTATTTATTAAAATAGAGTGTAATGTAAATAAAAAAAAATTAATATTGCTATCAAAACATTCTAAATTATTTGCAATATAACCACAAGAAATTACATAGTTAGAAAACCCATGTAGCTCACGAGAACTAGTAGACTCTAATTCAGATGCTTAGTTATTATAAGAATGGGATTCAAAGTTCTTTTTTCTTTTAAAATCAGATATGGTTATTTACCCTCAAAGCAAAAACAGACATGGTTAAAGCTTACAACTTGCGTTTAGCTTAATTTAATTTGAAAAAGTAATTTCTTATTTTTGCCAACTTCCTAATAAGAGTTTTTTTTTTTTTGAAAAAAAAAACGCAATTATTGCACCAAATTTAAGCATTACATACACAGTCTATTGGTTATATTTGCTTTTACACAATGTATTGGTCTGCAGTGATCAGTGAATATTCGAGGGAAGATGATCCAAAATATAATGTCCAAGACGGCCCGTACGGAAAAGATTAAGCAACTTCCCGGCAACCTTGTCTTGAGCATCTTCAAATTCAGTAGGAACGTGGAAAGCTTCCTGCAAGGCAGTAAACTGCGTTACAATAAGCGCTTCCATTTCATCTTCACATTTTATATTGCCTTCAAAAGATGAAATTGTTTCATAAAGTGTTCGTCGAACATCCTGCACTATGCAGTCCTGCAAAACAAATGTTCCTTAAAATGCATTTAATTTTTTAGAGCAAAGCCAAAGACACTGATCAGGAACGCAATTTATTGCGACCGTTCTTTCATCAATCATACAAACCACGGGAAATGAAGAAAATAAATGCACATCTTGGACTTCGTCACCCAACTTGAAATTTCAATGTCTAGAAGTGTTACTAACAATCCTCATGCTAATTGTTCGCTCAAGCCCCATTATTTTACTCTTTCAAAGTGAGAATGAGCAACCGTGTAATATATATATATATATATATATATATATAGGTATAGGAGAAGGATTTTCATGCAAGTCTAAAATCTCTTATACTGGATTTGAATTTTTCATTTAATTTATATCTAACGGTTAGTAAAGTAATAAATTATAATTCATTAAATGTAAGTTCAATGAAAAGTTTAGATTGAGTGTAAGAATTTTTAAACTTATACTTGTGTGAGAAGATCCTGTTCTATATATATATATATATACATATAAGCATGTTTACCATTAATTTGAATTGAAACCCTCGTATACTCAACCCACTTTCAATCACCGGTAGATACACCTTTCCTTTCCCACTTTAAAAATCGCACGTCAGAAGGGTTCAATCCAGAGTCCAGTAGGATGCAAGTTGAGATCAAAAGAAATGCAAGGAATTTTTTAAAAAAATTTGACTCCTTTATCAGTTTACAAAAGTTTACACACATATCCATCTTTAGACCATTTGTTTATGTTCAATTCTTTGATTGTCCTTAATTCTTTTGCTGGCTGTGTATTTTTATCAGAATACAACTATTTTTGAATCATACCATTGGAACATTATATGAACATTAAGATATAGACAATAATTACCTGTGTGTGATCTGCAGGGATTTGGTTCTTCTGCTTCATGTGCAACTCAGAGTTAGTCAAACATTCTGTTGCACGGTTAGGGAAAAATCTTTCATTATCCTTTGTAGATAATTTTTCCCATTTCTTGTATTGCTCACTGGAGTTGTGAATAGCTAGAAAATATTGCGCAATTTCTTGTCTTCCGACAAAACAATCCCCAATTGCTCCTGCATAAGGATTAAAAGGGTCTGAATTCTGAAATGCATGAATAAAAATAAGAGGTTATCGGAAATTTTGAGCTACAAAAGCTAAGCTAAACTAGAAATCATTTGTTTTTGTTCTTTGATTCACTTGGAAGTAACAGTGTGCTTGTTTGCAAAGGAGGAAAATATAAAATGAAAATTATGCAGAATAAAATGTAGAACCATGTGGAACCATTCAAAGTAGAGAAAGCGCATTATGCATAAAAGGAAGAAAATCTCTAGGTATGAGCATATTTGCGTAGTCTGGTGCAATATACTAAGGCAATGTGAAGAATATTTCATATTATCAGTATTATATCTTAATAAATGTTGAGGATCTTAGAGATTATCTCTTAGGACTACTTCTCTGATTTCCATATTTTGTTATTTAATTACTTATTTAGTTAGGATTATTAGTATAAACCAAGATTAGTACCTTATGCCTTATCATTTGTGTAATATACTGATATCAATTTAAGAATATTTAGACCCAGTTTGGGTAAACTTCTAAAAAATTCCTTACATAAGTTGTTTTTATATCTTGAAAGAGAAACTAGCTACTCAGTTTGAAATGAAGGATCTATAAAGAGTGAAGTACTATCTGCGAATTGAGGTGACCAACTCAAAACAAAAAATTCTCTCTTAAGGAAAATATGTTATAGATCTTCTTAAGAAACTAGAAAACTGGGATACAAAGCTGCTGCAATACCTATGGAACATACCCATCAAATAGGAGATGAGGAGAGATCTACCGTAAATAAAGTCTAATACCAAAGACTAGTGGGAAAGCTAATCTATCTATCTCATACTAAACCTGATATTGCATAGGTTGTTAACATTGTCAACCAATTCATGCATGATTCACGTCAAAGACATTCACTAGTCCTATGAAACTCTTGTGATAACAAGTCTATCATCGACATAGTGCATAATCCTGTCCAACATGACAAGACAAAACATATAAAGATTGATCAACATTTCATTAAAGAGAGACTGAATAATGGTCTCATAGCTACCACTTATGTCCCTTCTAGAGATTAAGTAGCAAATAAGTTCACTTAGGGATTGGCAGCTGAGCAGTTCAAGATCTTTCATGCAATCTAAGAATGATAGATATCTATTCACCAAATTGAGCAAGAATGTGGAGAATATCTCAGATATTATGTTTTACTGTAATTATTTATTTTTGTTATCTCTATGATTAATAGATGATTTTATTCTCTAATATAAATATTAGGATTAGATTCCTATATAATAAGTAAATTATAATGTATAATGATGAAACAAAATTCAAAATTCAAGTGAACTTATTGTCTCAAATAGTTGCTGAGGGCATAGTTTGGTAGATTTAGCTTAGCAGTTCAAAAGTTTGGTATGACTCCTTGTGAACTAATTACTTAATTTTTTATGGTCCTTCAATCTCAGGTTGTATGTACTTGATTGTGTACATCAACAACATTGTTATTATAAGAAATGATCACCATGACATTGAACGATTAAAGCAACACCTTTATTACCACTTCCAAATAAAAGATATTGATAAACTTACATACTTCTTAGGAATTAAAGTGACACAATCCAAAAATAATATTATAATTTTCTAAAAGAAGTATGCAATGGATATCCTAAAAGAAACAAGATTGATGAGGGTCAAACCCATTAATACTCCTATGTACCCTAATACCAAACTTTTGCCAAGTCAAGAGAAGACACTTTTAAATCTAAAGTATAGAAGACTTATTAGAAAATTAAACTATATAATTGATACTTGTCCAAACACCTCCTTGGCAGTCTGTGGTGATTCAATTCCTTAACTTGCCTTATAACAAACATTGGGATGCAGTAATCTGTATCTCATTAAAGGAGCTCCAAAAAAAGGTCATTTGTATGAAGACGAGGAAATACTTGGGTTATGGGGTATTGATGAAGTCCCAATTAGGCTATAATATGATATGAATTTAGCTTCTTTTAAAGGTTATTAACCTTAATTTACATGTTTTCTTAGCCAAATATGTCAATTATTAAACATTCATAATTTTAAGTTAAATTTATGAATAATTGAAGTTATTTACCCTAATTTATGGTAGAATTAAATTAATTTATGTATTTTTATTGTCTAAAGAATCATTTGACAAGAAACTAAAGCTTGAAGAAGTCAAAAGGAGAAACAACTAGAAGCTAGGAACCAAGATCTAGGCATAAAAACGCCTAGAATGGGCATACAACACTTAGAAGCAGGAAAAATTCACGTTGTCATTGACCTGTGGGCGTCAAAATGCCCACCTACTTTTGACGTTCAAACACTTTGACCACGGGTGCATGTCAAAACACTTAGGGTGGACATTTTGATGCCCAAAACTTGCAGAAATTGCTATTATTCTACTTCCAAGCATAAAAATGCCAACGTTAACATTTTAACACTTAACATGACTCCAAAATCTACAAGTAAATGTTATGGGGGCTGATTTTCAAATTTAGTTTGTTTTTTGTTAGTTTTTGTTAGAGCATTTTATATTTTTCATATTCTATCCCTTTTCTTTCCTAGGAATTTGGAGGACTTTTTTGTGTCCTATATTAGATCTCTTAGGAGTTTTTTTTTTTTATTCTTATTGTTTCTGTGTTTATCATTGTAAATATGTGGAACTAACTTTCTTATATCAAGATAGGATGAATTTCTATTTAATTCTCCTGTATTATAAATGTTATTTCATTCTTATTTACCTAATTCTCTTGCAATTGAAAGAGTTTCTCTGTTCTGAATACAATTTTTAGTTTGGCCAACTAAAAATTGATTTTAAACTTAATTTCACAATTAAAAAATTGGTTGTTGAGTTGGATCTTAATAATTCATCACAATTGTTGAGATGTTAAGGAATTCACTCAATGATTGTGAGGCTTTTCTAAATACTTGGACGTTAATGCATGTGTTAATTAGATTCGCCTAAGGAGTTAGAGAGTTTTGGTTAATAAAGGAATTTTTATTTAAGGAATTAAATAAGATAACTTTCAGTACAATGAGACAATTAAAAGGGATTCTAATCTTAATCTCTATTGTTCATTATATTTTCTTTGTTGTTTGTCTTTGGGTGCAATTACACAAACACACAAACAGTTTGTCTTTATTTTCTGATTTTTAGTCTACAAAACATGTCACATTGCTATTATAAATGCCCAAATAGTAGTTCAATGAAGATACATGGGTAGTTGGCAAAAATCCTCATAGGAACAAGACTGATTATACTTGATTAAATGATTGGTGCTCTCGTCAAGTTTGTTTGTTCAAGCTAGCAAAACAATACAGTAGGTATTCATATGCATATCAGGCAAGATCACCTAGTGATAAGCGGTCTACATTTGGTTATTACATCCTTATTAGTGGTAATTTAATTTCCTGAAAGGTCTAGTGCATAAGTAGAGTATCAAGCTATGCTTTTAGTCACTTGTGAACTTATTTGCCTTAAACAATTGTTCAAAGAATTGAGATTTGGAGAGATTACATAGATGACAGTAATCTATGATGATCAAATAGCATTGCATATTGCTTCAAATCCAATTTTTTATAAGAGGATTAAATATATTGAGATAGATTGTCACTTCATTAAAGAAAAAATCTTACATAGAAACATTGCCAGTAACTTTGTGAATTCTAATGATCAATTGACAAATGTTTAAACCAATTTACTAAGAGATCCTCAAATTAGTTATATATGTGACAAGTTTGGTGCATATGATTTACATGCTCCAATTTGAAGAAGAGTGTTGGAAATATGTAATTATAGTAATATTATAAATACGGAAGTTGATATCTTTGTAATAATAATAATTAATTAACTATTTATTTCAATACTTAATTCGTGTATCAATTATTTTTATTATATATACAATCACTACTGTGTAGTTCAAACACATAGATTCATTCTATGTCTCATTCCTCTTTGTTCTCGACTGAAACAAAGCAAACTCTGCAAAGAAGAAAACTAATTGAACATACCTGTTAAAATTAATTTAGATAAGACATCAACATCGGGAACCTTGGGAGATAAAACAGCGGGAGTGTCTAACACGTAAATATTGGGATGGCTACCAATCTGAATGGAAAGCAAAGTTTCAAAAGTGAGAGGCACAAAAGATGTACTAATACAAGATTATGTGGACAGGAAGTATAAGGAAGTGATGGAGATCTTAGTGGAATTGATAGGCCAACAAAAAGTACCCAATAGGAATCAAGCTTACCTAAACATTTATCCCATTCAAAAACAGTTTTCCAGGATTAAATGAAATAACAGCCATGCCATAAAGTTTTGTCCTTTACTTTTGAAGTATGTTCTTAAAAGCATATAGCAGATGGCTACGTTGGAATACCTAGGAGATGTTTAGTATGCTGACTACTAACTTATATTCCTAATTCTTTTGTATACGCAATAATCGCATGCGTGTATTCAATGAATTACAATTGGAAACCATGGCATATATTTCGAAACATAATTGATAAATGGGTAAAGTTGGCAATCTACAAAAAAATATCTCGGTTCTTACCTAGGAGACTGAAATTCCCACATGTTTTGGATGGCATCATTAACATGCGTAACAATAGTTTCTGAGTTTGACATACAAAGTTTTTAGTGAGCTTTGCTCAATTGATAACTTTTAGTATATGTATTCTAGATCTTATTTTTGGTGGTTTCTTTAAGTGGATACTTTATTCCCTGCTCGTTTACTTCTTTCCATCTATTCTCTAGTGAAATTTCTTCCCTTAATTTAAAAAAAAATCATACCAGCTAACCAAGCATGAGCATCTTGCACAAGCATTCAAGATACCCAGGAATGTAAGATGCCTAAATGAGCATGTCTGGGCACAAAACACCTTTCAAAAGTTAAAAATTATCAATGTCAAGTAGTTGTTCTGCTCAGTATGAGGATCAAACGTTTAATTATGTGAAATATATGAGATTGTTAAAAGAAAAAAAATGACAAAAGGTATATAGAATTGGATTTTTCAAACTCTTTTATAAGGTGCAACGGCAAACTTATAAAATTGATAAGGAAGCATTCAACTTTGGAGGTCCAAAAATATTTATAAAATAAAGGCAAAGAAAACAAAGGGCTTAACCTTATAACTTCGTATATCTTTAGTCTCCCCAGGCTCTGGACCCACAGTCGCATGCTTTAACTTTCCTTTCTCTATAAAATAAAAATGACAAAAGAAAATGAATTATAAGATAAAACTGAAAATTTTGTGAATATATACATATGCATTCACTTGTTTTTCTCAAAAGTTGAGCATGTCATTTAGTCTGTTGTTCTATTAGAATTGTAATAATAATTTAAATACCTGCAGCAGTGATTCTCCCCACTTGATGCAAGGCATTGGTAAGTGCCGACTTACCAACATTTGGAATCCCAATTAACATTACTGTCGCAGTATAATTAGCATGATCAGTTCCCCTCAATTTTCTCACCTGGCGTTGTATTAGGCTTAGAAACTATCTAGAAGAAAAAATCGTTGTTAGTAAATTAGTTGAACATCTCTAAAATCAGTATCAATTATAAAATAATAATAATATTAATTAAAAAAAAAACAATATAATAGTACAGAAAATTTACTGTATTTGTCATACTCCATGGAGAACCTTTTGCTTTTCTAGAACGTGAAGAGAACATTTCTTTTATATATTAATATTTTAATCCACACAATTACTTTGCAACTAGGAGATCCAATACATGGAATCTCACGAACTCAAATCATCCCAACCCTTGGATGTTATTTCCACTAAAATATGCATAGACTAGAGAAACAAACCAAAAGAAAACAGAATTACTACAAGGAATGGGGAAGAAAAAGGAAAAAGATAAGAAAAGCCAAGGGGAATGGCAGCAATATAGTGCAAACTATTTTCAGAATCTCTAACCGTTCATGCTTTAGTTTGTGGTTAAAATGTTTTATACTAGTGCAAAAACAATTCCACTACTGTTCATGTGTGTTACAGACAACCATGAATGCATATTACCACACATATAAAGATTCCTTAGAAGGAATATCAAATGCAAGTTCTTAATTATAATTTAAATCAATTTAAATGTGAATTGTACACAACGGTAAGATTCAAAAGTAGAAACTTGGTTCCACGTATTTAACAATTTATAGACTAACCAAAAAGGCCAAACCCAGTGTATTTACAGTAAAACCATTCATTCCTGAGGCTCTTTGGAAGAATGCACAAAAAAGGAATGTAGTATTTACCTGTTTGATACTTTCCTTGTTATGAGCATTGACCCCACAAGATATGTAGTTCCTTTCCCTAAAATATTCCATCCATGCCTACTCACAGAATGAGTTGTAAACAACATTTATTAAATAAAACAAAATTCATTAATTAATAAATCTACAAGGACTACAAATTGACTCTTAAGCAAAGGTGGTTAATTGATTGACTTTGGTTAAACTCCAATAGTTAATTGGTTAAATTAATTTGTTACTATTTTGATTAGGATGTTAGCCTGCTTGGCATTACTGTTACTCTAGTCGGCTTAGTCCCTTTGACATCAAGAGCTTAAGTGTGGAAACTCCTTGTGCACAACTTTTCTCATTATATTTCAATATCTTCTCTTGTTATTTTCTCTCAAATTAGATCATAATTTAAGTATCTTCGCTCCATCTTATAAGGTGGAGAAATAGAGGCATAAAGCATAGAATCTAAGAAAATTTTAACATAAAAATATAAGATCTGCAATGTTTATATGAAATTGAATGCTGGGAGTAAAACATCAACAACATAATAAATTCAAATGAAGCAGAGATGATATGCTGTGTTGGATGATTTAACATACTAGACAAAATAAGAGCATAAATGAATGCACTGGAGAGAAAGTTGGAACAGCACTTGCTATACAAAAGACTATACAAGCTCATCTTAAATGGTTTGCACATATGTAGAGAACTGATAGAACCAAATGTTAAACTGAATACGAAAGAATGTTTCTTTATTGCTGAACCTAATTCCCAATGCTACACCAATGTAGTACAGATTAGGAATAGGAAGAATTTTTACAAGATTCCAATAACCTGAGGTAATTCGAGAAATCTCCCTCTCCAGACCAGTCTATTCTATTCTAACTGAAAAACTGAAAACTCCAAACTATTTTGTGCCAGCTGTCCACCATTAACACACTTGATTATTTACTCTTTTATTTCCTGACTAGTCTTCTTTCTCCTACTATATACGTGTTTGAATCTATCAAGAACACATCTAGAAGTCCAACCTCCACCATCATCCTCACCCCCACTCCCTCCCCATCCCCCCACCTCCAACACTCCCACCCCCTTCCCTCAACCTCTACCCCCACTTTCACCCCGACTCCCACCCCTAACCCCCACTCTCTCCCTTTTTCTTTCCCCTTCCCCACTACCCCACCCTCAACCCCTCCCCCCCCTTAGGCAGAATGTTGTCAGTTTGCAAAGTGAACGAAACATTCAAACCCAAAAGCTTTTATTTTTTTTAAATCACTTTGCATTGTATTGATAGGATGTTGAATGGAAGGTATGTCATCCCAAAATTCCCTTGTTTTCTCATACTCTTTTCTTTCCCTTTTTCTCAACATTTGAGGCTCTTTGGTCTTTCACAATGCTGATTTCTCCCAAATTTTGATAATGTAGATGACGTGTCGTTGCTTCCTTCAATTGCATGGTACCCACGATCCCTTCCCCACCCATTTTTGAATTTGACAAGGTTTTGGGAGCCATTGTCAAAATGGGACACTTTTCCACTACTATTTCACTCTTTACGCAACTTCACTTTAGAGGAATCACCCCTTCCGTTGCTATCTTAAGCATCTTGATCAATTATTATTGCCACAAGGGTCATGTTCTTTTGCCTTTTCTCTGTTGGGAACTAATCTCAAGATGGGTTATCAACCCAATATGGTAACTTTCAATACTCTCATTAATGGTATATGTATCAATGGTATGATCTCTAAAGAAAGGGGAGAAGAAAGGAAAAAAAAGTTAAAGGAGGGGTTTTTTTACAAATATTTAAAATATATTTAGGGATTTTTCTACAAATATTTATTTTAAATAATAAAATATTATAAAATAAATGATGTGGCATGTTACATAGTACTGTTAAACTGACTTTCTATTTGTCAACTCAACACTTAATAAAAGCAAATTGACGGTAGGGACTAAATCTTAACAAAAAATTTTATAAGAACTTATCATAAAATATATTAATTTTATAGAGACCAAAAATATAATTAAACCTATAAAAATTAATATTTTTATTTTTCATAAATTTTTTTTAAAAATTTCAATTTAAAAACTAATATATTTAAAATTAATATTTTTTATAATGTTTTAAAAAAATTCTCAATTTAAAAACTAACATATTTTGTAAAAAAAAAAAAATAGAATCCTAATCGTGAAAGAGCATGAGAGTGAAAGAGAGAAAAATCCCCTAAAATGGGGGAACTCAAAAAATCAACATTAGGAAAGTTTAGAAAAAATCCTTAACCCTCCTCAAAATTAATTAACTCCCAAACAAGGGTTAAACTCCACTAACCCCTTCCTTTCCTTCTTAAACATAACTCCCAAACATAGCTTAAAGTTCCAGCCTAACCTGATCTTGAAATCAAGGTTTGAGCTAACCTAGTTACATGATATCTGCCATTATTTAAGGTCTAACCTGACTTTTTTAAGAGCTCAACCTAATCTATAAGCCAATTTAAAATAAGGCCTTTTAAATATATAAAAAAATACATCTAAATAGGCTACTAGGCCTGAAGTTATATGTAAATCAGCAAACTTAAACTAATATATAAGATGATATATAATCTCAAAAGATAATATTAATAATAATATTGTTTATTTAAATAGGCCAGCCCTTTTCAAATAACCTGATGCGTAACCTTTTTATTTAATAGGGTTTTAAAAGGCCATGACCAGACCCATATGGCCTCAATGAGCAGTCTGGCCTATTTCTACCCCTGAATGGAGGGTTACCAAATCAGTAGAGGCAAACGGAGACCCAAAAAGGAAAAAAGTTCATGTAAAATCATTTCGATGGAATATTATGACATCATTTAATCCATATATTGATTTCAGGTAGTAAGAAAAGGCTTCATTATTGCCATTGAATTTGTCATTCAATTAAAAAAAAAGCATTTTAATTTCTTTAATCAACACTCTGTTTTCTTAAATCAACAATGAAGCATCATTTAATATTTACAAATTACCATTAAGATAATATATTCTATTAACTAAACTAATTTTAAAAATTTTTAAATAAGTGTTTTAAACACTTATACTTTATTTTTATTTTTCTTTACATCACTAAAACAATTGTGTTAATTGAACCAATTCTTTGCTTAATTTAACCCGCATTGGGAAGACACTTGCTATTACATCAAAATTTCCAAAATCCTTTAACAAAATGCAAACATTATCATAAAAAAAAGCACAAAGAGGAGCTACCTGCAAAGCCGATGGACCAGCAAGATCCATTTTGTTCAGCACTATAATTTGCTTCAAAGAAGATATGGTGTAGTTTTGGATTAACTCACATTCAGAAGACAAAGGAATCTGAAATTGAAGAGAATAACAGGTATAAACATGTCAAAGAAACAAAAAAATATAAGCAATAGTGATTCAAAATGTGGTACCCTTGCGTCTCTGACATGGACAATAAGATCCACCATAGGAATCCTTTCTGCGATGGCACGAGAAACAGCAGCCATAAATGAATCATGCCATGGTGCTCGAATGTTTTTCTGCTTTCCGAGTTTTTCCTTTGCTGCGGTGCCAATTCGTCTACCGAAATGCATTGCTGCCATTGCAATTGAATGTAGAAATTAAGGCAGTTTTTGTGCAGCAAAAACTTTGTAATCAAACTCCGCAATTGCCAATCTGGAATCATTATTCGTGGCATTAGAACCTAGTCCATCATGATTGTGTCTTTGATTGTGAGAGGTGTTGCTGAAAATAACTTGCTTTTAGGCGTTCAAACACTAGAAAATTGAAAAATCACTTCAAAATATTAATTTCATTATTCTTCTAAATTGATCACACAGTCATAATCGATTATCATCAGTCAAACATTACAATTTAAATTCAAATATACCAACACAAATTAATAAATTCAAAAATGTAAACAATTAATTTCACTAATTTTCACACAAAACAAGATAAAATTCACATTGCAATGAGTTAGGGAACACTCTCACTTCGGTTGCCCTTTCTCGTTTTATTTGAGAAAAAATTTGAAAGGAACAAATTTAATGTTATAAATTCAAAATTTATGAATTAAATAAAAAATCAATTCTATTTATTTTATTATATATACATTAAAAGAGAAATTAACTATTAACAAATTAAAGTTTCTAAATGAGAAACCTCCAAACATTAATGAAATATTAATGATAGTGATGATACTATTTCAATTTGGGTTGGCTTGTTCACTAATATTAGTAAATTTTATTTTTTTGGTTAACTTCCAAAATTTACATTTTATTTTGTTAAGTAAATAGACAAATAATAAATATGATAGTAAAGAGTAGGACAAAACTGAAGCAAATATACTTAGAACCCGCTAAATCACACTTATTGGATTGATCCTTGGTGGTAGCTGCATTCTCGCCTCAATATAGATAATAACTTTATAATATAATTATAAGTTTTTTATAATAAAATGATAATATTTAAATTTACTCATAAGTTCTGAATAGGATAACATTTAACATGGACTTTACCAAAGTTCAAAACTTAAAATGCATATGAATTCCAATATCATTTTGGAGATATTTCACGTACCCCTATTCTAATTCAGCAACCTTCCTACCCTATCTTACCTATATTGGCTGCAATGGAAATTTGATAATCCTGTTTCATCTATCTAGAATAATTCTCGTCAAAATTTCAAAACTCCAAATAAAAAATTAGTAATAGTTGAATGCTCCACATGTGTCAAACCATGTTATTGACCCCAAATGATAATATCTATCGTAAAAACATATTGAGCTTGCTTTCTAGCATTAACTTGTTTCCTAGAATGATATAGAAGTTACTTAAATATACTCTCTAAATAAACCAGTTATTAATATCTAAAAACAATTAGAATTTTTAGCAATTAATTTCAGGTCCAGAAATACAATCTTATTAGTTTTACAATTATCAACATCAAGTTAATTTTACACATTCCCTTACTGCAGCAACATAGAACTCCTTTCTCTATAACTTCTATTCTGTTATGTAATACATTATTAAGCCTTAGCAGTGCAAGAGCTGACTTCATATACTCTAATACTTAATCATATGTTTAAGATAGTGATTTGGTCATACTTGCTCTGTGTAGCATTAACAGGACATGTAAGCTGCATTCCACTATAAGATTCATAACTAAGAGGACAATGAAAACAAACTTCCCTATCAAACAATCAATGCAGCAGAATTTACAATACAATAATCAACGCAAGGTCTTCTTAAAACTATGAAGCCAATGAATGATAAATTTCTTATGTGGGACAGCAACAAAAATTCCTGAATTTTCCTGATATACCTCTAAAAAGTCTTTTCCTTTTAACGGTTATCAAGCAAAACAAGATTCAATGTCTATCTGCATAATTGAAAACTCAAATGCAGATCAATAGCATCAAATATTATCAAATTCAAGTACCAATGATTAAGTCCAATAAGTAACCTAACCGAAGAACAAACCTTATGCAAGGACGTTTTTTGCAATCACCACCGCTCCAACGTTGAGTAGATAAGGATTCAGAGAAAGAAGAATAAGAATGCTCCCCACTTTCAGTAGAACAACCAATAGAAGAAAAGAGTCCAATGTTCCGTCTCTGTGTAGTCAATGAGGAAGAGAGAATTTCAGAAAGGAAGAAACCCCACTCGCCAAAGAGAGAAAGACAAAAAATAAAAATAAAAAAAGTTTTTGCCTCCCCCTTCCTTCGTCGTCAATCTTTGTTCAGAGAGCTCGTTAGTCCAAAACAAAAAACAAAACGAAGAGAGAAGGGAATTTGTTAAAATTCAGAAAATGTTTGATTTTCTTTTTTAAATTAGTTTTTATTTTTAAAAATAAAATATAAAATAAATATGAATTTATTATCTTAATCTATTATTTTAGAAGATTATTTATTTTTAAAAAAATTATGAAAATTTTTATTATTTTTAGGTGTATTTTATTTTAATTTTATTTTTTTTATTTGTAGTTTTTCATTTTCAAATTTCTTTAAAACCTTTATAAATTTTATTTATTACATATTTTCCTGCAAAAATATTATTTTTTATTTTAAATTAATTTTTTTTAAAACTACTTTATTACCCTAATTTAGTGTGATTTGATTTAATAGACTCGTTTTATCGACTTTAATTTTAATTAAAATTAGTAACTATACCTTTATTTATATGAGTTATTTATGAAAATAAAATAAAATATTATTTAATAAACAAAATATTATTTAATAAATAAAATTTTATATTAAAAATTGATATTACGGGTTCCTTTAACAAAATTAATAAAGATAATAGGTTAAAACTCAAAAATTTGCTAAAAGCTAAAATGTAAAAAAATCAAAATTAAATGTTAAAAAAGTAATTAGTTAATTAAATTAAAAGTATTTAATAAAATTAATTGTTGAATTAATTAATATATATATATAAATTGATAAATAGCAAATAATTAATTATTATATGAGAACGTAAATTTTTAATAATTATATATTTTTATATTTTTATTTACTTAAAATTAGGTTAATATTTTTTAATTTTATTCCTATTTATGAATATATTTATTAAATAAAATGAAATAATACGGTTGTAAATAATTTTATATTATTATTTGATAACTTTATATTATCAAAAATATAATTTTGATGATTTTTTCAATGCTTTTAAAAAAAATTAGACATATTGGTTTCTCAAAGGCAATAGGTGCCGAGGTATTTTTTTTATTTTTCTTATTCGTTACATTTTTAAAAAATAATTATTAAAATTTTATCAAACAAATTTCTATCTACTTAAAATTTCAAGTAACAGTTCTATACATATATATTTAAAAAAAGTACGTATTTCTTTTACAGTTTTGAATTTGTTAATAAAGATAAAGTATATCGAGTTTATGATAATGGAGAGACTATGAAAAAATATTTGGAATAAAAAAAAATCAGCTATGAACTAAAAAACTTAAATGCTATTGAAGTAGCATTTTTCAAAGCATTAAATAGCTACTAATTTTAACTATTTTATCAAGTAAAATCATTTTAATCAAATAAATTTTTAACTAATAAAACAAGTTTTCAGCTATCTAAAAATCTGACTAAGGGTATAATAAAGATCACAATAAAAGAATAGCAAAAAAAAAAAAAAAATCACAATAAAAGTTCAGTATATATAGTAAAGGTTCATAATTTATATTTTTTTCAATCTACTCTAGCTTTGTGTGTAAAATATGTAGTTTAAGTTCTATTTTTTTTAACATTTCATTGAGTCATATATTTATACTTTATTTCCTTTTAAAAATATTTATTGAGAGCTAATTTGAGAAAAAGTTGTTCTTAATATTATAAAATATGAAAATTTTTAATTATTTTATTGAAAAATCTTATTTCAAAGTAAGAAAAAAATATTTTTATCTTTCAATTTCTATTTCATATACACGTATATTAAAAATAATTTAAAAAATTAAAAAATAATAACTAACGTTGCAAAATTAATAAATAAAAAGTATTATTCTATAATTTTCTATACAAGAAAAAATGTCAATGAAGACATGAAAAATAAATAAAGAATAAAAAATATAAAATATAGTTAAACAAAGTCTTAATGTATGTTATGGACTTAAGAGCTATAGGCTACTATTTTTCTCTTTTGTTTTCAAACAATTTCATCCAAATTCAATTTCTAGATGTGATGAATGAATTTATCATAAGAGATTTTTTGCACATACAAAAACTTAAACTCAAAACTTTACTTAAACAATACTAAACAACTTGTCACTCAGATTAATCTTCAGTCTATATGCTATCATTTTGTTAATAATTAATTCAATTTTAAAAATTGTTAAATAGAAAATCTCTAAAAAAAATATTTATTCAGGTCATTTTTTGATATGAAAAAGCAACCAAATATACTAGTGACGATTTTTGACCAAATTTTTTAATTTTTTTAAATTTCATTAGGAATTTTTTATTTTAAAAAAATTGTCAGTAATAATTTTAATTTTATATATTTTTAGTATTTTTAAAACAAATCATCGGTGATAATTTTTAAAACTCAGTAACTTTTCATTGTTTTATTAGTACACCAAAAATTGTACATGACAATTTTTAAATTCTATATATATATATATTGTTGAAATGAACGGAAACTAAACAGTTTCTACTCAGACATGATCGCAGCAAGAAATAGTCAGATTGGTCTCTCTTTATATTGAATAGCTTTTCTTACTCAAAGATTGGATGTTTTTGTGGATTGAGTCTACCTGCAGCCCCTTCAGTGTATTTTTTCGGTTCAGTTATTACCTTCGTTGAATGATTGACTAAAATAAATTACCTTATTTAAATAATTAAAATATTATATTGTTTGTTTATTATTATTATCCTAAAAATATATTTAAGAGAAAAATATAAAAAATGAAATAAAATAATTGAGTTAGGTCCAGTTTAAATAAATTTTTTAATAAGCATTTAACATTAAGTAAAAAATAATAATTAAATTTCTCTCATAAACTAAAATTAACTTATTTTTTTTCCTTTTCTTAGAAGTTTTTATTTCAACTTCTCAAACTTTTGAGAAGAGAGGTTATTTTTAATTTATGAGATAAATTCTATTAAATTTTTTTATTATAATCTAAAAGCTTATACAAACTGGACTTCAATAGAAATAGATTTGAAAAAATATATATACAAAATGAAAATTTTATTATAAGTGCATCATTAATATTCAAACAAATATATTTAAAGCAAGTGTGGACGGAAGATCAAGTTTCATCATAGGACCAAGGTAGAATTTGGGCTTTTGAGAGGTAATCCTCATTTATAAATTCATGGCATATGAGAGAAGACCATACTTCATTACTCTTTGCATCATTTTTATAAACTACTCAGAGGGAAATAGAAATGAAGCTGTTCTGGATTCTTCTATGCTTTTGCCTTTTCCTTCTCCTCTTCCTCCAAACCACTGAGGCCAGGTATATTATTGTTTAACTACTGATTAATCATGCTAACTATCAGTTCATAATTTATTCTAACAAGAGCAGTAGAAACAAATGCTTTTGATGTGTTGACAGGCTTGGACGCTGGAGCGATGAGCCACAGGCCAACCCATCATCACCTACTGGTGGCACTGAAAATCATCCATGATCAATCAATCACATGCGGTCATTAAGAACCTTTAATTACCTGTTTAAGTATAAATTCAGAGGCCTTAATTAACTTTATTAACTGTGTCTATTGAGTTTGATGAAAAGGACTAATGTATTGTAATATTCAAGTTTATGTCTATGCTTTCTTTATTGCAGCAGTGAATCAGTACTTGTATTAAGCGTTTGCAGTCCCAAGTCGCAGTTCACAACACATAAAAGTTAGAATTTGAATAAAGCTTGAGTTTTCTGCAATATTTTATTACACTTGCCTCTTTTTCTCTCTATGTAAACTTCGGCTCTTCCTGCACCGTTTTTTATTAACGTTAAGATCCCATACAAAAGTTACAATTAGTAGAATTGAAGTCAACGTGATTTAGTAAATGCGAAACTAAAGTTAAGTTATCCTTCATAGTGTTATGAAGTAAGAGACTATGGAAGAACTTCTAAATTTATTTGCCTTCTTTCAATGAACGCTCTACAACATCAAGTTCTTGTTGCCCTACTGAGAAAGAAACATTTACACTCAAATTTTGAGTAAATAAATTATTTAGGCCATGGAAGATACACTTTACAAAAACCTGTGTATAATCAAAATAAAATGTATCAGAATCGATGTAATGAAAATAAACGCGTCTCGCAGTGGCGGAGCTAGAGGTAGATGATTTTAAGTAGGGTGGCTAAATAAATTAAATATTATTATTTTTTTAATGTGTATTTAAAGAGTATGTAATAAAAAATTAATAAATTATTAATTTTTATTAAAAAATATAATATTTGACATTATTAATGCATTAGATTAAGTATATTATATAATTTTTTAATAGAAACTTATTCAACTTTTATTGTGTGCTCTTTGACATAACGCGTTAACAAAATTGAAACACTACTCTTTTTTTTAATTTTTTATAAAAAATAAGTATTCGTATTTTTTAAATTAGAAGAAACAAATATTCATTGTATAAGTTATTAATTTGACTATTTTATGTTAGGGTTAAGAACAATCAGGTTTAGGTAGATTCAAGTTTAAAAACTTAGAACTGAAACAATTCAATCTCTTAACAATTTGAATTGCTTCCATCCAATAATAATGAAACACTATAAAAGATGACCACTACCAAAGACGATCACCATCAAAGACAACCACTGTGAAAAGTGTTTGGGACCCAAACATCAATGAAAGATGAAACATTGTTAGCAACACTGAAAATGAAGCACCATTAGAGATAATCACCATGAAAAGGGACACCGAACGGAAGCAACCAACAGTAGTGCAAGACATTTGGAGAAGACGGATGTGGGAAACTATTGGTGGAAGCTGAGCGGTGCAAGAAGAAAGTGAAGTGGATATTAGGGTATCTAACATTTTACTGATATCACACCGGTTGATCTATGCAAGCTCTCAAGTTGCATGTGTTCATGGAAAATTTTACTCTCACCAACAACACTGCCTAAAGTCTAAATGCCTCTTAATTCATTTACGTATTTATTATTTTGATGATGCTATCTTTATTCATCAATTACATGATTCTTCACAATTGTGTCATTAAGATTACCCTATCAGTTATCCTAGTCTTTGCAATGGTTTCTAAAGGATTTGTTCCTTAATTTTTCTATTTATAGAAATTGATTGTCGGCTTGAGATGCATAATATATATATATATATATTGCACTAATTAAATACCATTTAGCTCCCTGCCAAAATATGATTCCCAAATGCAATCAATTTTTTAATATCAAATTTTCAAAATTAATTTTATAAGCAATTGCTTCAAATTTAGTTTTACCAAAATTTAAAGCAAAACACGGTATCTCTCATAAAACCTATTACATTTTTTTATATGAATTACTTTTTAACTATGATTTTATAAAATTAAAAATGATATAAATAACAGCTCATAGAAAAAATGTAGGTAAAATATGTTCTCAGTCCATATAAATATGACAATTAGTCATTTAAAAAAAATGTTTCTTATGATTCCCATAAATTTTAAAATTATTCCTTGCAAAATTACTAAGGATATGACATTCAAACACGTCATGTAACTTACCAACTAAATAGTTAATGATATAACATAACTAAATACATGTTATGTCGTTTCAAAATTATAAGAATAACAACTTTTGATAAACATTGAATTTTATCAATTTATCTATTAAATTAAAAATTGTTATCTAGTAGATTAAACCTAAAAAAAGTTATACAAATAAAAAATTAATAAACATATCATTGAATAACTTTATTTGAATGTATAACATAGTTTTTAAAATATAAATTATAATAAACTATAAAATTATGTATCTACAAATGGTTTATTTAAAACTTGATATACATTATACATAAGTTAATATTAAATTATAAATTATTCAATGATTGAATCAATAAAATTTAATGTTTGTAAAGGGTTATTAAGCAGAATAATTCCAATAAAAAAAATACTCCAGTAATAATTTGATCCCTGCCTATTAAAAATTATGTGATATGATATCAATTAATTTTATAGTAACATATAATTAATTATTTTAATACAAGTATACTGAGATAGCATGCCTGTCTATGAATATGTTTAGGGTAAAATTTAAGGTATACTTACTGTTGAAGAGACTTTAAATGCTCTTCTTAAATGTATAAATTTAATTTTATATTTAAAAGATTTTTAAAATATATATTTACTTATTAATTCTTAAAAATATTTATGTATTATTATTAAATGATATTAAAGGACTTTTCTGTAGTAAGAAAAATATTAAAAGACTTTTTACAATAAAAATTAAATTATAATAAACAAATTATAAATTAATTAAACTAATGATATTATGCCACATAAGAAAGATATCTATACCCCCTCAAAGAGGCACAAGAGCAAACACCTATTTTTAGTTTAACTAAAATTTAACATATATGTTCATTAAGATAATATTATATAATTCAATATTTAGAATTATTCTAAAAAATATATATTAAGTAGAGTAAATGATGTGATCCTAGGAGTCATCGGATCACACATGTATATACTTTTGTACTTGCATTGTTCATACTTAGAATATTTTGTTTTGGACCTTATATTTTGGCAATAGTTTATTTTGAGCTTTGTATTTTGGCCATGGGCCTAGGAAGCTCATCGAGCTTTGGGGTGAAGTCTTTTATATTTTTCTTTGTGCTTGTATTAGGCTATGTTTCAGGGTATGTATTCAGCCCAAATTTCCATCCCCTTTGTTTTCCTTGTTTTAAGGCCCATTAGAGATCATATTAGGCCTTGAGTTAGCTTGCCTATATATAGGCTAAACTCCTTTGTAATTTTCAAATTTTTTATTCATTTGATGTATTTTTCAGCATAGTCTCCTCTTGAGTGAGTTTTTTTTTGAATTTTTTCATTGAAAATTTCATAACCATACTCTTATCATGAATTCTTCCATGTGGTGAGTGTATTGATGCTTATCTCCAATTGGAGTGGCGTGTGGCATTATAATTTCATTTTCTTGCTTTCCACTTGTTTTTCCTTATTTATTTGTTGTTGGATTCATGAAACTCTCCATACATTTGCTCAAAATCATAGCTGAAACATCTCTTGGACGATCCGCCTTTGGTTATTCTTGAAGGAAGTTTCAAATATTACATCAGTAAATTAGACAATGATTAGTTTAGATGACAGGTGAAATAAAGGAAAAAGAAATAGAAAGATGAAAAAAATACCAAAACAAAAGCATAATTTAGATTGAATTAATTATTAAAAGTAGATGTAAAATCCCATCTAACATAATATAATAAAACAATTTCAATTTTTTTGCAGTATTCTTTTTTTCTTTTTGGCTTTTTGTTAGTTCAGACGTTGTTTTAGTTTAATTTATATAATGTGTATCGGATGGAATAATTTTTTAAACACTCTTGTTTGGAACTGGTAAAAATATTGCTCAAAACTATCCACTAGTTGAAATAAATATCATTGCTAAATTATAATTTCTCTTCATTTTGTTTGATTTGCCTACGCTACAACTCACCAACTTGACATGACATTAAGTTTGCAATAGTCAAATGTTACATGTTGGACCAACCCTAAAAAATCCCTTATTTTCTTTCAAATGTCAAGGAAATTTTTTTGCAATTAGTTGAATTTTTACTAAGCCACAATTTTTAGCCTTTTGTTTCCTTCTCTACATGGATTATCCTTACATATTTTAAAACTTGAATTCATTTCACTAATTCTATCCAAATACTTGATCAATTGGTCACAATAGATCATATTCTAATCAAAGTCCACAAATTGTTGACCGATTTCTATGCCCAAATGATGACATATGGTGGCAAGACACCAGCAACAATATCAAGGGCAACTAGTGAAAGTTGAATGTTTTTTCGTCTCCAACACCATAATTTCAATTTTCATCAATGATCACTTAATAACATATGTCACTTATTGCATTGAATCTCAAACAGGAAGCCACGACTTCACTCAATATTTTATTCAAAAAGAATGCAAACTTATTCCTTAAAACTTGAAACTCAAGCTCAAAAGGTACATACAACAAAAGTTTGAAAGGGATTTCTGTAAGGAGCAAATGAGATTGTTTCTTATAGCAAAATAGGAGAATTGAACATTATAAAATTCAACACCAATCTAAAGCCTGAAGTGGTAATCAAGCCGAGTGTCAAATATACCAGCATTCTTCAATTTGCACCCTCCAAAAGATCAAAACATGTTGAAACTACCCCCTAGTTTACACTCAACCATAGATTCCAAGAGTTTTAATTTTTTTAAAAACAATGCCTCAAGCAATAATCAACCACAATATAAAAAATCAAAACCAATGGGGAAAAGGGAAGGGGCTTAAAAAATAAGTAAATAACGAACATCAAACATAATAAGAACAAGCAAGATGAACCATTCATGCATTAGAAACATATCAGAAAGATAATCAATGAGGTGCAAGCACATATCAGAAATAACCGTTAACAATTCACAAGACTATGAAACTTGGATTGTACCTGGATATGTGATCCGTCATTGACAAATTTGGATGCAAACAGGAATGAAGAAGAGGGGCAAATGGGGACAAACTAGAGATACAAACACAGATCAACACTAGCAGTTTGGATCAGGGAGATTAGGGTTTGATTAACGTGAAGATATTAGAGAGATTAGGGTTCAATTTGGGAATTAGGGTTCTTAGGGGTGAAAATTTGAGTTTGGTTAATGAGTGTGAACGCTGAAAGGTAGTGGTTCAAGGTATTCTGAAGTGAATCATGAGACTGAGATGTGAACCAGTTTGGCCTTTTGTTTAGTCAGTTGATAGGTTCACATAGGGTGCATCTAATTGCATTGCTAACCAGTTCAGGTATTGAGCTGCTTTGGGGTAAACAATGTGGTTTGATTCAAACGGTTTTTTGAACAGCCAAAACCATAACGTGATTGGTTGACTTTGAAGGAACTTCTGTAACCTCTAATCCAAGAGTTTCAATTTTAGATTGCAGTTCAACTTCTTCATTAGTCAGTGCTTCCACCTACACAGTTTACACATCAAATATGTGTGAGCATATTATATAGCAGTGATCACTTAGAAATAGTGCAATTTAAGTTGAACTATAGGTGGAATTTGAAGAAGCTACATATGTAATCTTCTTTGATGCTTAATAAATTAGAATGCCTGATATTTGAGTTGAGTGATGCAAAAGTTCGCAATTTTTAGAAGAAGCAGTGGCCAAGGATATTAAAATTATGAGTATGACAAATCACACTTGGAAAAAAATTGTAGTCTAACCTTTTTTCTGTTCACAAGAACAGTCAAATGGAAACAAGTTAAATTTGCAATTTTTAGAAGCAGCAGTGGCCAAGAATATTTAAATTATGATTATGACAAATCACACTCACCAAGGGAAAAAATTGTAGTCAAACCTTTTTTCTGTTCACAAGACCAGACAAATGAAAACAAGTTAAAATGAATTATAGCAAGTAGGATCCTGGGTCCTCTAGGATCATAGTTAAATGAATTGAAGTTCACATAATGACATGCAGGTGTTCAGTTTTTCTCCACTGGAAAACACTGATCTTCCCCTATAAATGATTATATGATAAGGAGTATTTTGTCTCAATTCCTAACCAATATGAGACATCTGCATGGGTGGACCCAACAAGACTGGATATTTGTGGGCTCTGTAATAAGGAGTATTTTGACTCTATTCCTAACCAATATGAAACATTTGCATGGGTGGACCCAACAAGACTAGATATTTGTAGGCAAACTGAATAGGCTTTGATATCAAGTTAAGACATTTGAGCTTAACTTACTCCCAAAAGCTAACTCATAGGAGAAGGACTACCTTAACCTTTATAAGAAGTATTTTGGCTCTATTCCTAACCAATGTAGGACATCTTAACAATTATTATCCAAACATCATTCATAATTGAAACATGGATAAATGGATTCATGAAAAGACATGCAATCTTTTAATACTTAATACATGTAAATTGATATTGCAAGGTCCCAACAAATATATTAGACCTTTAGGGTGCACTATACTACATAACGGCATAACAATGAACTACAATGGTGCATCATTACACAGTCAAATTCTTGGATGCTTGGGTCCTGCAGCCATCAGAAATACAATGAAAGCAAAGAAAGACAACAAGTACATGCTACTAGAAGGATTACCAAAGAAACAATTGTGAAAAGGGCATGAGTTTTGAAAATTTATAACCACAACTTCATGCTAGTTATATTTTAACTCACATCAAAACATGCCACGCTTTAGTTAGATTTTTTTATGGAACTCTTCAAGGTTTTGATATGATGATACTATATGACACCAAGAGACGATTAGCAACTGATTGTCCAACTATCCATTATCATACAAATTCAGATCACAGCATCCAGAATAACTCCAAATTTCCTTCTATCTCCCTAATTTACAATTTTTTAGCATAAGGAAAGGATCATATAAAATTATAAATGAATGATTAGCTTGGTACTAAAATGGTTACATCCCCCCTTCCCCTCTCCCCAAATCTTCAAGGAATTACACAAATTCCAAAACAGAATCACAATTACAGAAACAAAATTTACAGAGGGGCAACATCAGTACTACAAACATGATACCTTAGTTAAGGGGAATCACGCATGTACTACTGCCAATCGTTTTCTCTGTTCTCGGTTCTTTCATTTTCCCTCCTAATTTTCTCTTGGTACCGCATCACTCACTGTGTATTGTTCATCCTTTCTCCAAGACCAACATTTGAGATAAAATCACGCAACACAAAATGTCAAGACTCAGAATACACAACCCAACTACTACCGGCCGTCGCCTTCACTCCCCTCTCCTTCATTTCCCTCATCACCTTCTGTGCCTCCTCCATCCTCCCAACACTAGCATACATCTTCGCCAATAGAACATAATTCGCAGCATTACCAGGCTCAACCTCCGCCAACGCTCTCCCCGCAATCTCTCCCAACCTCAACTCCCCAAAATTCCTACAGGCCCCAAGAAGTGCACCCCACGCCTTGGCAGTCACCTTCACCGGCATCCCCTTAATAACCTCATACGCCTCCTGCAACCTCCCTGCCCTGCTTAAAACATCCACCAAACACGAGTAATGATCGCTACTCGGCTCCACGCCATAATCTTCTCGCATTCTCCTGAAATACCACAATGCCTCATCAGCCAAACCAGCGTGGCTACAAGCCTTCAACACTGCAAGAAACGTGATTCCATCAGGCTTCACTCCAGCCACCTCCATTTGACGGAAAATCCCTAATGCGGTGTTTGCCTCGCCGTGAAGCGCATAGGCCGATATCACACTGCTCCAAGCAACAACATCCTTATCCCTCATCCTCCAAAACACGGAATCTGCATACACGATAGAACCACATCGCCCATAAGCCTCAACCAAACCACTGCTCAATTGATGGTGCGGATCAATCCAGTTCCTTACAGCATAACCGTGAATCTCCTTAACCAAATTCAAAGCCGCAACGCCAACAGCAGCAGGGAGCAACGCGAGAAGCGTAATCAAACGCGGCTTCAAATTTAGGGTAATCATTTTTCGGTAAAACGAAATGGCGTTAAACGACCCGTCGTTTGACGCGGCCAAAGCGGCAATGATGGGATTGAAAGTGGATTCGTTGGGGGGAATGTCCATGGAGTGGAAGAGTTGAAGCGCGGTGGGGAGGTGGTGGGCGTACAGGGAGATGATGGTGTTCCAGACGACGACGTTTCGGGGAGTGGTTTGGTGGAAGAGTTGGAGTGCTTGAGAGAGTGAGATGCAGGTGCCGTAGAGGTGGAGGAGGGAGGAAGAGACGAAGGGGTTGGAGAGGAATGAGGATTTGGTGAGGTGCGCGTGGAGTGACGTGGCAAGTTGGATTCGGTGGAGGGAGGTGCAGGATTTAAGGATGAGGGAGAAAACGTGAGGGTCTAGAGGGAGTGCCAGTGTGGAGTGGATGTGGTGGAACACGGCCAGGGCCTCGTGGTGGCGGGAGTGGCTTATGTGGGTGGATATCAGCTTCGTGTATGAGAGGAGGCGCTGGTGGTTCGGGGAGTAGAACCCCATCGGTGTCCGTGGCTCCGCTCTCTCCTCTGCTTTTCTTTGCTTATGTTAGCAAGTGATTGGCTAGGTGAGGCGTGCGAGGGGAAACACTTGCCTATGTCGTGTTTAGTTAAATCGCTAAAAACAGAGCATCACTTTTTTTCATATACATATAACACCTATTTTAACTCATAATATAGGGTTAATACATATGATAAAAATGATATATGTTAATTCAAATTTTTTATAAATAAATAATGAAACGAATTAACAAATTACTACTACATAGACAAGTTAAAAATAAAAATAACTTTTAAAGACTAAATTGAAAAAAGAAAAAAGAAAAAGGAGTTAAAAAGAAGTATATTTTTAAAAGATTAAAATTTTATTTATGTCTTTTAAAAAATAATAATCAATTTTTTAGTGACATATTAAGATGAAAATTATTTCTTTTTAAAAAGAGAAAAATTTTAATTTTATCCTTTTTAAGGTGAATTTAGTTATTTAAAAAATTAAATTGATAATGCAGATAAAAATGATTGATATTCATAATTTGTTTTATTTTTTTTCTCTAAATAGTTACATTTATCTCTAAATTCATTTTTATCGTAAAACATGAAATTTCAATTGGATAATATATATATATATATATATATATATATATATAAACTTTACAATTTTTTTAATCAAGATAAAAAAATTATATATAGTAAATTATTATTAAAAAAATACTAAATTTAATGTGTTGATATAATTAAATGTTACAATTTCTAATAAAAATATATTAATATAATATCTTATCATATGCACAAGTTAAACAATTTTTTTTTTTCAAAAGTATTTTTGACAAAAGCATCTCCGATTACTAGTGCCATATGAACATGTGAACATGCTCTAGCCATGTGAACATATGTCATAACAAGTTAATAGTTTGTTTCTTCAGAAATAAATTTGGATAGTCTAGAATCATGTGAATATGATGCTGTCTACTCTTAATGTGACATATGTCACAATTTTACAATTTACAAAAAAGCAAAAAATACATACATGTTACATTATGAGTAACCGGAATTATATGATCTTAAACTATCCAAAAACTTCTCCTTTCTCACGTACTAGCCTCTTCTAACTTCGAATTCATTAATAATTGTTAATTTAAATTAATTTGAAGAAATCGTTAATTTTTGTCAAATTTTAAGAGAATAGAAAAATTATTAAATGAAGGCCTTGCGCTCAAGTCTCTGCTCGGAGAATGCCTCAAATTCTCAAAAAATGGTCTTTCCTTTTTATCTTTTGCCAATTTTAACAATTGATTGACTTATCAGTAAACAAAACAATACAATGAAACATTCTTATATAACTAGTTTATTACAAATAATATAGAGCATTAAAAAAATATTCATACTTAATGACAGGAAAAAAAGGAAATTATTTAGAATTTTCCACATCTGTTTGGGTGTTGTCTGCAGGAGATGCTGTAAAATTACGTCTTTCTTCAGAGGTAGCAGTGATAACTGGCATCCACACATCAGCTGTACCACTCAAGAGTGACTGCACTTGTGGATCTGCAGCCATTGCTGATGATATCATCTCATCAACATCATCCAATTTTGCTGATAATTTATCCAACTCCTTGGCTATTTCCAACTACATAGACAATGAATTAAAGAAAAAAAGAAAAGGACAGAAGTGTTATTTCATTTCAACAGAGATAAGGGAATTGTGCATCAAGTAATGGCTAAACTACAAAATGAAAGCCACCTCGTTAAGGTGCTGAGTTGACGATGAAGGAACTTTTGTAACCTCTAATCCAAGAGTTTCTATTTTAGATCTCAGTTCAACTTCTTCTTGATTTGTCAGTGTTTCCACCTACAACACAGATTACCATCTAATATGCGTGAGTGTATTATATAGCAGTGATCACTAGGAGATAGTGCAATGGAAGTTAAACTATAGGCGGGATTCAAATAAGCTGCATGTATACTGCTTGGATGCTTAATAAACTAGAATGCCTAATACTTAACTTGAGTGATTTAAGAGTTTGCAATTTGTAGAAGCAGCAGTTCCAAAGATATTAAAAATTATGAATATACCAAATCAAACTCGGGAGAAAAAAAAAATGCATTCTAATCTTTGTTCTGTTTACAAGAACAGTGGAATGGAAACAAGTTAAAATGAAGTACAGGAAGCATGTGTCTAGGATAATAGTTGAAATGAAATGAAGATCACAGAAGGATAAGCAGATATTCTTCCCCATGGAAAACACTGATCTTGCCCTAGCTTAGGCTTTAACACAAGAAACCAGTTCATTTCACCATAAATGATTATGTGCAATTCACAGTACAGATCATCAATGGAGAAGCAGACCAATAGAAGCTCCAGTTGAATGAGTTGATCAAATCACCCATAATCCAATAATTGGAGGTAGAAGTAGACCAAGAAAAGGATATAAATCTAATGGCATCTCTAAACATTTTATGTTGACAGAACAAAATAAGGTAATTTGAATTTCAATTCCTGAGGAGGATTTGGCTGGTGTTGCAATAACTGATGCTCATTCATCTCCAAACTTTAAATACCAAACATGACTCATCAATAAATACTTGGTTCAAACACCGTTAAAGGCAGATGTGCATCCTCTTTCAGTCTTTTGTTTGCTTTGCTGTATTATTATCCAAACATCATTCACAATTCAAACACGGATTGCAGCCATATGTGAAAGGCACACAACCCATCTGTTATACATGCAAAGGGATATTGCAAGGTCTGGACAAATATGTTTGACCTTTAGGCTGTACAACATATTATATGCATCATGCATCATGATGGCATACCAATGAACTACAGTGGTGCATTACAGTCAAATTCTTGGACGCTTGAGTCATGCAGCAATCTCAATTCTCAAAAACTATGAAAGCAAAGAAAGACAGCTAGTGCTAGATGAGAAGGATTACCAAAGAAACAATTCTTAAAAGGGAATGAATGGTGTGTAATGAAATTTTATGAACACAACTTCATGCATGCTTTAACTCACATCAATATATGTCAAATGTTTGTTTGAAATCTCTCTCTCTTTTTGAAACTCCTCAAAGTTATGATATGATGATATCTTACTGCATCACCAAGAGACAGTTAACCATTGATTGTCCAACAATTCATCTTACACTTGCATTTATCATACAAATTCAGATCACAGCAGGCAGAATAACTGGAAACTTGCTTTTATCTCCCTAATTTTCAATTTTTTAGCATAAGGAAACATCTAAATAAGATCCCTTCCCCCTCTCCCTGACCCTTCCCCAAATCTTCAAGGAATCACACAAATTCCACCAGAGAAACAACACATTCTTATGAGTTACTAGGAGAAGTATTAAGCAAATAAAGGAAAACATACTCCTGATGCAAATACATTTACAATAACAAAAATTACTCCGATAGATAACATCGGTACTACGGACAAGGATTAATCACATATGGAAACTCATGAAGATGACGATAATGACTGTCACAACAACAACAACAACAACAATAATAAGTATGCGCCTACAAGAATGTTATATGATAATTGCTCGAACCCACGTTAAATTACAATCCAGTGTGTAAAATCAAACTAAATTTAAGCATGAAACGGGAATAAATTACAACTCAAACGCAATTAACGGATCTGGGTATAATAGGATGGTAAAAAGTGGGATATTCAGATCATCAAAATCCATTAAAAAGGAGAAGTTGAAGGTTAATTGCAGAATGGAACAACAAATTAAGAACATAATAAGCGAATAAGTTGAAAAGAAAAAGACATATGGTGAAGTGAAATGAACCTGGTTGAGGAGATTGGAAAGAAGCTGGAAGAGCTGTGCATCGGGTTTCCCTTCCTCTGCCATGGAATATCTCCGTTCAAAACCAGGCTGTTTAATTTTGTTGCTATTTGCTAAGGCCTTCTACGGTCTTTTCTGGTTTGTTAAATTCCCACTTCACGCAAATCTTACCATCATAATTTTTTTACACAAAAGTGGGGTTAACATATTATATTTGTTAGTAATTTTTCTATACTTTGTCCGGATATTATTAAATTTAATTGTTTTTAAATAAATTATTGAAATATATTATATGACTATTTTAAATTTAATAATTTTAAAAAAATATTACAATTATTAATAATAAGAAAATATCTATTCTATTAAATAAAATAAAAATTATAAAAAATTCATATTTAAATTCATAATAAATTACAAATACATAATATAGAAAAAAAAATGATAGACGTTAATCTCTCAAAACGTTTTAATTTGAGTTTTTTTTTTAAAAAACCACTTTTAATAATTTTGTTAAAATATTATTGTTAAAAAAATAGTACTTACAATTTAAATTTATGCATAGAATTTGATTACTGAAATTATTTTAAAAGTTACAAAAACTTTTTAAGATCTATCAAATTTTTATAAGTTTTAATAAATTTTAGTCTACAGTAAAAAATATTCAAAATATATAATTAATCTTTCTTTTATATATTACCCTCATGTAAAGAAATATTTAATTCAAATTTTAAATTTAAATTATATATGATATTTTGGTTTAACTTTTTGAGTTTATTAAGTTTGTTTTCAAATTAAGTTAATTTGATTTTTTTAATTTTTTTTCATTTAAAGTCTTTAAATTGTTTTTTATTCAAATATCAAGGAATTTATGATAAATTTAGGATACAAAATACTTTTAAAAGTTTATAGGTGAATTTTTTTAAAAATTTATAATAAATTATTTTGTATATTTCTTTTTTTGTTTTCTCATTTAGTTTAATCTAGATTAGACTCAATTCTTACACATGGATGTAGTGGTAGACTACTATAAAAAAATTTCTTCTTCTTAGTTAATTCAACAAGACATGATTACTCAGTATCGACATCATCAAACAAGGCACATGCACAAAAAAAAAATAGTAACTCGTAAACGTTATTTTTCAAAATAAAAAGAAAATACATTGATAAAAAGTACCATTTTTTTCTTCTTTTTCTTCACTTATTCTTCTACTTCCAAAACCATATAATCCAAAGATATAAATCATTACTATTTTATTTTTATCATTTTGATTGATTATTTGTACTTAATTATTCTGTAAAGAAAAACATCATTTTTATTTTTCAAATTTTTTTCTATATAATCATCTTCTAAATTTTCTTTCTATCTTTGTCTTTTTCTCTTAACATTATTATGATATAAAGGTACAATCCTTCTTTCTAACATTGTTTATGCTTTATTGTACCTCCTACAAAATCCAAAAGAAATCATTTTTCTTTCTTTTAGTTTTTTTTCTACACACTCTAAGTAATTATCTTCTAAGAACTCTTTCTTATTTTTGTACTTCTCTTCTAACAAGATACAATATTTATGTTATTTATTTTGATATTTTTCTTTTTATTTTATTATTAATATTATTTATTATGATAATGGTAAAGGTTATTATGAATTAGTAAATTAAGTGACTCACCAATAAATTCGTAAAATATCCTACTATAATAGGTATAACAGGTTTTTAAAATTATAATATTTATAATTTCAATCTTTTATATATTTAAAACGTGTCTTTTAATACATTAATATTAAAGGCAGTTATCATTTAAATAAAACATAATTGTTTATTAAAATAAAATTCAATCATATCTTTCAAACTCACTCTTATCTTTATTTTTGAAGTAAGTTCTATAATTTCTTTAATTTTTCTAACAATTAGTTGAATCATATCTTTATTTCTAACAATTTTCTCTATTAGATTGTATAAAATTTTATTAAAAATATAATAAAAAAACTATTTTCAAAAATTAAATAATCCCTTAGTTTTTTTTAAATAAAATATTGATGCTAAAATATAAAACTTTGTGAGAAAATATGTCCGTGACAACATTTTACAACAAAGAACACTCAAGTTGCTTTGACTAAAAAATAATTGCTTTACCTTGTAGTTTTATAACTGATTTTATTTTTAAATTTATTATTTTATTTTATTTTGGTTGGATAATATTTTTACTATTAGCTGCCATTTGAAACTCTTTGGTCTTCATTTTGGTGTGGCTTCCTTGCTTAATTGCTTGGCATTGCAGAAAAAAATGAACACAAATTAATAGTAAATTAGACGTAAATTTATGCCTCTTACGGTTTTAGAGCAGAGTCCATTAAGCCACAATGCAGTTTGACTTTTGTTAGCATATATTACTAATTTGGATAAATTCTCAAATCCATCCCAGTCCTACTCACGCTTTTCTAACACCTAATTCAAGTTGGGTTATAGCCGTTTGAGCACCTAATTTCATATTAATGCAATTTAAGTTCAAAGTACAAGACTAATTAAACCTCACTAAAATCGAAGTCCAGGGAACGGAAATTTTTTGCATAATGAAAAAAATGATATTACGTATTTTTTAAAAAAAAAATTAAATACGTAGCAAGATGTGAATGAACTAGATGACATAGTTTCAGAATATTCAATAATTTTTTCTAGGAAACAGCCTACGATATCAATTTTAAGTATAGCTGCATAAAATTTGTATTTTCAATTACCCAAATTTGCATAATTCCATCCCTATGCATTTAGTCCTGGCAAAATATTTTATAATCACTGAACTATACCTTCAGAGCTTGAAACAAAAAAAGAAAGAAAAAGAAAAAAAGAAAACAATCTTTCAGTTGATAGTTGTAAAGAGTCTTACCATCTAATGAAGCTGGGATAGTAGCAGTTATTGAGTTATAGCATGTAACTGTCCAAATATGTCACCGAAAGATTTGAGCTCATTATCCGTGCGATGCTCCCACTCCAAATTATATCTCTTTAGCTTGGAATATAATAATACAAAATGAAGCCACGAACATGTAATTCAATCACTTCAAGGGTCTCAAAATAAAATGTTCAGTTACAAGTACATTATACGTTAAGTAACAAAACATTAGTCCGTAAGTGTAATTATCCCTAAGTTCCAACTGCCATTCTTACATGCACAAACATGATCTTCCACAATAACTTATTCTTTCAGCAACTTCAAAATTTTCAACTAAGATTACAGAATGATTTGTAGAAATTGGTCACATTCCATATTCAAAAGGTAATACTGAGATTATGAGTAACACCAAATAACAACATAACTGAAATGATGAAAGGAATGAAATCAAAACAAGGTGTGTAGTACTGTATATCAAAAACTGTATCCAACTCTTGATGAGTGAAAATATATATATGGTACAATACTAAACTAATAACTATACTACTAGTTTAGTGACTAAAACTAACAAAATTATAACTACCAAATAATAGAAAGCTGACAGTTATTTGGTTAATACCACGCAAGCATTATCCCAGCTCGGGTAAAATGTGATAAAAGGGAGTATGGTCAAGAGGTTTAGTGAATATATCAACTACTTGATTGGTGGTGAATATGGGCAGCAAATGAAACAACTTTTAAGTTTTTCTCATCAACATGACAATCTACGTTAATGTGTTTTGTTCTTTTATGAAAGATTAAATTTGCAGCTATCTGTCTAGCTGGTTGACTGTCACAATATAGAAGAGTAGGACTTACGAAAGGTATTTGGAGGTCTTGAAGAATGAAAATTAACCACTGTAGTTTACATATTGTTGTGACCAGGGCTCTATACTCAGCTTCTGATGAAGATCTCAATGTTGTATTCTGCTTCTTTGATTTCAATGATATTAGGGAGTTTCCTAAGAACATGCTGTAACCTGTCACTGATTTTCTTGTATCATAACAAGAGACCTAGTCTAAGTCACTAAACGCCTTTAATTGCATGGTTGAGGTTATCAGATAGAAAATCCCTTGTCCAGGTGTTCCTTTGAGATACCTTAAAATATAAATAATCCCCTTGTATTGAATCATTGTTGGTGATGACATGAATTGAGACAGTTGTTGCACAATAAATGTGATGTTTGGCCTTGTTGTAGTTAAGTATAAAAGTTTCCCAACTAGTTTTCTATATCAATGAACATCAAGAGAAGGCTCATAATCATTTTGGTAGAATTTTGCTGTTTTTATCACAGGGGTACTGACTGGTTTGGATGCTAAAAGTCCCATTTCAGATAGGATTTCCAGAACATACTTTCTTCGACATAACGAAATTATCTGTCCCAACAAGTATTTTAATGGACCTATATTTTTTACCTTAAAACGGTTGTTCAATTCCTATTTAATAAAGGCAATTTCTAAATTATTTGTCCCAGCAAGTATGATCTTATCTACATACACAAGGAGAGCAGTAAAGTGGTTATAAGAACATTTGGTAAACAATGAGTGATCATGTTGTGATTGCCTGTATCCTAGAGATTTCAAACAAACAAATAATTTCTCAAACCATTGTCACCTAACTTGCTTCAATCCATACAAAGATTTCTAAAGTTTATAAACTTGATTGGGCTTTACGTAGAATACCCCTTCATGAATGTCTATGTACACTTTTTCATTTAAATATCTATGCAAAAATGCATTGTTGACATCTAATTGCTCCAACTTCCAATTCTGGCAAGCTGCAACAGCCAAAAGAATTCTCATAGTAGAAATTTTAGCTACAAGAGCAAACGTATGAAAATAATCTAATCCTTCTATTTACGAGTATCCTTTTGCTACTAATCTTGCTTTATATCTTTCTATACTTCCATCAAATTTATATTTTACCTTATACACTCATATTAATGGTTTTCTTACCTAATGGTAAATCAATTATATTCCGAGTATGATTTTGTTCTAGAGCTTTTAACTCATTATTCTGCATGGCTTCTATCCAATATTGAGACTTTATAGCTTCCTTATAATTCTTAAGTTCTAAATCTATTGAAATACAAAGTGTATAACATAAATGTGATGTATATAAAGATTTATAAAATAATACAGACGACAGAGGATATCTTACTTGGAGGTCTCATTCACCTAATGAAGAAACCATTGTATTGCGGTGAAAATCATGAAGATAAATAGGTGGGTGTCTTGCTCTATTAGATCTCC